TGTGTGTGTGTGAGAGAGAGAGAGAATGAGAAAGCAAACAGCCATGTCCAAGACAACCTCGGTCAGCCATGTGGGAGTCCATTGCCCTTAACCACCATGCCACATGCTGGCCCCAAATGATGATAAATATTCATTGCCATGACAACCACTATGTATTTTAAAGCGTTCTTTGTTTTGTTTTGCTATAGGGCCTGTGCACTCAGTGGAATGAGACAGAGAGAGAGACACACACAAACACACACACACACACATACACCCCTTCCTCACCGGGGAGTCCTCAACATGCAGTCCTCTCCCCTCCGTTCTCCTCTTGGGATTTTGGGCACACACGCACCAGGTGTGATTTTCAAGCCACCGAGTCCAAGACTTGAACCACACAGTTAGCCTTGTGGGATTCATCCTCCTTAACCTCCCTGCCACCTGCTGGCCCCTATTTTAAAGTACTTTTATCAGGTGAAGAATATTTAACTTCAGAGGTAGTATGGGGGAGGGCTAGCAATAGTTTTTGAGCTGGAAGTTGTTTTTTTTTTTTTTTTTGAGAGGTTTTTGCTATAGGGCGTGTGCGCTCGCCAGACAGAGACAGAGAGACAGAAAGCGAGAAATCACCCCCCGGGGGGGATGGCCACGCCGCAATCCCTTCTCCTCTGTTCTCCTCTCGGGATCTTGGGCACGCATGCACACGCGCCTGGTGTGAGTTTTAAGCCACCGGGTCCAGGACGCGAACCGCGGTCGACTACATGGAAGTCCAGCGACATAGCCATGCTAACTGCTGGTCCCGAGCTGGAAATAAGTTTTGTAAGTAGATTACTTCATTACCAAATACTGAGTACTTACAATGGATAAGGCCTATTTTGCAGAGTCTGTGTAGAGAGAAAGAATATCCAAATGTATTCACACTTACTGAGCCTGTGCGGGCTCTGGACTAGTAGAGAAGGTGGCAGGGCAAGGTCCCCAGTCTGTAGGAGCCCTCATGTCCTCAGGAGGCAGGGGACACATTCCTCCGTGCTGAGCTGTGCCTGAGTCATCTGAGTGGCCTGGACAGAGCCGGGGCAGAGGTTGCGACGGGCACAGCAGCTCATAGAGGAGCGTATCTCTGTGTGTCAAATCACCCCCAAACTAAAGTCTCAAAAGCAGAGCCAGCTCCATGGTGCGTCCACATGGTGGCCACGGTTTGAATCTCTGGCCTGGTCAACCTGAAACACACCCGGTCCATGAGTGTATACCCGAGACCCGACGGGATGCCCAGACCCTGTGGAGGAGTCCTGAGGGTCAGCAGTGGGGGAGGGCGTCTTAGTGGCTGGTTGGGCTTGGGTTGTCCCGTGAGGCTGCAGCCACCTCAGAGCTTACTGCTGTGATGGTTGCGGGCCTCCACCCCTCGCTGGCTGAGGGTCTCGCCAACTTGAGTCTCTCCAGGGCTACCCAGCTGTTCTCTAGGCATGGCAGCTGGCATCTCCTAGAGCCCATGATCCAAAGGAGAGAGAGGAAGCCATGGTGTCTTTTATAACCTAATCTTCAGTGACATGCCCTCCCTTCTGCTTGTTCTGATGCGCACACCGACCACCTTGGTAAAGTGAGGGTGGAGATTAAGTGAGAGTGTGAATAGCAGGAAGTGGGGACCCTGGGGCCATCTTGGATCCTGGCTGCCTCGCCCTCCTTCTCCTCTGACTGGGGAGAGAGGGAATACACAACTATGCCAGAGCCTGTGACCTGGTGTGCACTGCTCGCTGCCCAGAGCAGAGGGTGGGAGAGAGGCCGGGCAGGTGACAGCCCTGGCCTGTGACCTGGTGTGCACTGCTCGCTGCTCAGAGCAGAGAAGTGGGGAGAGAGGCCGGGCAGGTGACACCCCTGGCTAGCCTTCGCTTGTGTGACTGGTAACATCCTGCCGATGCTTCCAAGATAATGATGTCTGAGGTGGCGTGCAACCTGCAGTGTCCCCGCCACACACAGTGCATGGTGTGACAGTATGTACGTAACAGTATATGATGAAAACGTTAATATTTATGTTACTATAACTCATATAGTAATAGAATACAATTAATTCAGACATGTAATGAAAGAAGTTGAATTTTGAGGGTTTTTAAAAACCTAGGTGGTGGGACCAGTAGATGGTGTAGAGGTTATGTCACTAGACTCCCACAAGGCCGACCTTGGTTTGAGTCCTGGACCCAGTGGCTTGAAAATCACATCGGTGTGTGTGCATGCATGCCTAGGATCCTGGGAGGAGAATGGAGAAGGGATTGTGGTGTACCTGTGCCCCCTGGGGGAGATTTCTCACTTTCCCTCCCACCTCTCTGTCTCGCCCCCCAAGTGCATATTCCCTAAGGCAAAAACTAGTTAAAAAACAAACTAAAACAAAACAGAAACCTCGATGAGCTATTTACTAACAGCTGAAGTTTAGATTGTAAAAATTAAGCCACTCTCAAGCCCAGTGTCGCTATCTTATAGGATGACTCACTCGGCTAGTATAAATTAATTAATAACTGGCTTTCACGTTTTTCTTTCAGGTGTGCTTTGATTGTGGTGCCAAGAATCCCAGCTGGGCAAGCATCACCTATGGAGTGTTCCTCTGCATCGATTGCTCAGGGTCGCACCGGTCCCTGGGTGTCCATTTGAGTTTTATTCGGTGAGCGACTTCCCTCGCGGGGCCGGGGTGACCACGTTGTTACATGGGTGTCCTTCCCCTCTTTTTTTTACGTTTTGCCATCAAGTCAAATGACAGGCTAATTGTGATTTTTACGGAGATTTAAATCTTACATCACTTAAGTATACTGGAAGATGAGTTGTCTGTTTTCGGTTCCTACCCTGTAGAGCTCTCTGTCCGACATGAGGCCGAGATGCTGACAGCCAGGCTGAGGGTTCTGCCCACAGCGCTTCTCCCTTTGTTACTCCAGCAGGGTGAAGTACACAGCCTTTCCAAAGTCAATTGTAAATGCTTGGTGGGCTGCATATTTATAGCTGTACGCTCTATAGGTAGTTACTCAGGAGAGAGTTATTTTATGTGTTTTTACTAGTTTCAGAGGATTTCTCAATTTCTTCTTTTCTTTTTCCTTAGACTTTGGTCCCAGAACATTGAATACACTTGAATTCCATCCTTGTCTTTTTTCTAAGTGTTGAGAGATGAATTTCCAGGGCAAGTTTATTTACTTACATCTTCCAATTTTTTCTTATTGTAGTAAAAATACACCTAACATACTATTTATTCTTATAACCATTTTAAGTATATAGGTCAGTGCTATTAAGTACATTTATAATGCTATGTCACCAATACGGTCACCCAGCTCCTTAACTTTTCAACTGAGAAAACTGAAACCATTGAACACCAACTCCCCACCTCCTTCTCCCCACAAGTCCCTGACATCTAGCATTGTACTTTCTGTCACAATGAGTTAGACTATTCTTTTATTTATTTTTAATATTTTTGGAGAGGCTTTTGCTATAGGGCGCCTGTGCTCTCCAGAAAGACAGAGACAGAGAGACAGAAAGCGAGAAATCACCCCCCAGGGGGCATGGCACTGCTGCAATCCCTTCTCCTCCATTCTCCTCTCAGGATCTTGGGCACGCACGCACACGTGCCCGGCGTGAATTTAAGCCTCCGGGTCTGGGACTCGAACCGTAGTCAACTACATAGGAGTCCAGCAACATAGCCATCATGCCAACTGCTGTTTCTAAGTTAGACTATTCTAAGTATCTCATCTAATAGAATTATGCAGTATTTGATTTGTATTTCCCTAATGGTTAGTGACATTGAATGTCATTTCACATGCTTATTGTATATCTTTGAAGAGATATCTATTCAGAGTCTTTGCCCGTTTTTAAATTAGGGTGTTTGAATTTTTTTGTAGTTATGTTTCGGAGGTCTGTATATATTCTAGGTATTAACCCTTTATCAGATATATGATTTGTAAACATTTCCTCCCAGTCCATGGGTTGCCTTTACATTTCATTGATATTGTCGTTGATGAACAAGATTTTAAAATTTTCTTGAAATCTAATTTATCTATTTTTTCTTTTGTTTTCTGTGTCTTTGGTGTCAGACCTAAAAAATCATTGCCAAATCCAATGTCATGACGTTTTTGCTGTATTTATTCTTTTTTTTTTTTTTGAGATGTATTCATTCTTTTAATAGTTTTTCCCCCCTTTAATTTTTGCCACAGGGCATGTGCAGTGGACAGAGAGAGACAGAGAGAGAGAGTGGGAAGGAGAGAGAGAGAGGAAAAGTCTGAAACACCCTTCCCCCCAGGGAATGGTCACACCATAATCTCTTCTCCTCCATTTCTTTCTCCTTTCGAGAACTTTGGACATATGCACACAAACCCAATGTGTCTCTCAAGCCTCCAGGTCTGGACTTGAACTACACAGCTGGCTATCTGGGCTCCTCAGTCTGCTGTGCTGCCCGACCGCACCATAGAGCCGAGCCTCAGCGTGTTTTTAATGTACTTGTATCACCCAGATTGATCTTTACCACTGCCCACGCAGTTACAGACTGGACTCTGGAGTACATAACTGGTTCTCTTTCTCTCTCCTGTGCTTTCCCTCCCCTTCCCTCTGCCAGGTCCCTCCCATATACTCCAGCTCTCCTGCTTCCTCACCACTAACCATGTGCCAGTTTAAGCCTTCTAGGAAGGCAGGCAGTTTTCTGCCCTATTCCTACTCGAGGGAACTGACCTAGAGCCAGAGGAGGAGGGGCATCGGGTCGTCTCGGGCTGTTGCAGGTTTGTTTACAGGGAAGATACATGTAACGATGCTTGTGAGTGAGTGGAAACAGTACTTAGAATCACTGTATCACCAGGCGGCTGCAGCCCAGGCCAGGGCAAGAAACAGGCAGGGATGAGGAGGCGCCCGGTACAGGGTTTTATTGTTTGCCTTCTTTTCTCTTTGGTCCGCTTTTGCCATGAGGCATGTGCACTTGCCAGAGAGAGATGAAGACAGAGGGAAAATGAGGAATAACCCCAGAGGGTGGGAGGGGAATGGCCAAACTGCAGTCTCTTTTCCATTTCCTCCTGGGATTTTGGGCACAAACGCATACACATCGGGTGTGATTTTCCAGCCACCCTGTCCAGAACCCAAACCGCAGTTGGCCATGTGAGATTACAGGACTTCGACCACCACGCCACCTGCTATTTCTTTGTTTTTAAGAGCTAGGGGACTTCAGGGCCAGCAGGGGGTGTGGTGGTTAAGGCACTGGATTCCCACATGGCCGACTGCAGTTTGAGCCCGGATCTGGTGGCTCGCTTTCTCACTTTCCCTTTCTCTCTTTCTGTCTCTCTCTTGTAAGCATGTGTGCCCTGTAGCAAATTAAAATAATAATGATAAATAAACTTTTTAATAGAAGACCTAGAGGGCTTCACTTTAAACACTTTTTATAAACACAGGGAACAGTGGATGGCATAATGGCTACATTGCGGGACTCCTGTGTAGCTGACCGCAGTTCAAGTCCTGGACCTGGTGGCGTAAAACTCATGCCAGATGCATGTGTGTGCGTGCCCAAGATCCCAAGATCCCAAGAGGAGAATGGAGGAGAAGGGATTGCAGCGTGGTTATCGCCCCAGGGGGTGGGGATGGTTTCTTGCTTTCTGTCTATCTCTGCCTGTCCCGGCAAGTGCACACTCCCTATAGCAAAAATCCCTCAAAAACAAACAAACAAACAAAAAAACGACGAACGCTAGCTCATTGGGAAAATATCCAAGCAGTCCTAAAGTGTGAAAAGCAGACGTCCCTCCTCTAGAGTCCCTCTCCCTCTCTTGCTCCTCTCCTTCTGCCACACACACACGCGCACTCACACGTGTGTACATACACGGTCCCATTTCTCAGGCATGATCACTGTTAACGCTGTGGCATGAGATGTCTTTATTTCATTGGAATTTTTAAAAAATGTATGACTTTGGTGGCAGCAGACGGTGTGGTGGTTCAGGCACTGGACTCTCACATGGCCGACCATGGTCCCTGGACCTGGCAGCTTGCTTTCTCACTTTCCCTCTCTCCCTGTCTCTGTCTGGTGAGCACATGTGCCCAGTAGCAAGTTAAAAAAAAATGATGATGATGATGAACAAAATTAAATAAATAATTATGTTAAATAAATGTATATACATAATTTCAAGGCCCAGATGGTGGCATGGTAGTTGGGGTACTGGATCCTACATGGCCTACTCCACAGTTTGAATCCCAGACCCAGCAGATTGAAAAACACACCAGGCATGTGTATGTGTGTGTATACCCGAAATGCTGAGAGAAGAATGAAGGAAAAGGGATTGCAATGTGGCCATACCCTGGGAGGTGATCTCTTATGTTCTTGGTCTCTCTCCAGCAAGAACATGCACCTATGGCAAAAATCTGAAAACAAAAACAAAACAAACCCTTTCAAGTCAACAGTTGTTTTTTTCAGTTTAGTTTTTTAGTTTTTTTTTTTCTAGAAGGCATGTGCTCTTGCTTGAGTGAAGCAGAGACTTAGAGAGGGAAAGTGAGAAATCACTCCCCGGGAGCGATGGCCATGCTGCCATCCCCTCCTTTCTGTTCTCCTCTTGGAATTTTGGGCATTCCACCTTAACTTTATTTCATGAGCTGATTCAAGGTAAATGGGATCCCACATTAATCTTGGGATAGGCCAAGGTCAGGCTTAAATGCAACTTAAGTAAGAAGATCACCCGGAAGGTTCTGGTAAGAGATGGAAACCAAGTGCCCCGGCCTCTGCTGGGAAATTAGGTGAAGTGTAAAAGCAGAGGTGACCTTGGAGATGTGCGGAGGTTGCGATCGTGGACGTGAGGCTGGAAGGAGGAGGTCAGCACCTAGACTTCCAGGGATGGCCCTCGGCCAACTTGCAGCCAGGGTGTTCTCTGCGAGGGAAGGTGAGAAAAGGGCGCGAGGTCGGCCACGTGGGAGTCTTACCTGCCAGGCTGCAGCCGTTACCTCGGTGCCTGGTACCTCATCCTGAGGCTCTGAAGTGACACCTGCCGGCCTGGGCAGAGCGAGAGCTGAGTAGGAGCTGAGCAGGAGGGAGAGGAGCCCTGCAGCTAGGCTGGAGCCACAGCCCCTGCCAGCTCTGGGTGTGCTCCTCCTCCCCACGTCCTAGGCTCCTTCTGACAATGGGGCGAGGACACTGATCGCCCGGGTAGGGCGTTGGGGACCATGGACTGCATCGTGGAAAGCCGGCCCACAGAGAGCCCCCGCAGATGTGCCCCAAGGCCAGGGTTTTCTTAGTGCCCCTCATGAAGTCAGACTGGAGGCAGCCCCTGCTCTGACCCCCGTGAAGCTGTCAAGCGGGTTCTAGTGCAGCTCCCAGGAGCTGGCCCAGGGCTTGGCGGGGTGGCAGTCCCATTGTGGTAGGTTTGCTCAGTTTTCAGGTGTGATTACATGACAACTTGTCCGTTTATTGTGACTTCCTGTGTCTGAACACTCTTTAAATCCTCTGCTTGGGGCCAGCAGATGGCGTGGTTAAAGGCGCTGGATTCCTACATGGCCAACCATGGTTTGAGTCCTGGACCTGGCAGCTTTCTTTCTCTTTCTCTCTCTCTCTGTCCCTCTCTAGCCAAATTAAAATAAATAAATGAATAAATAAATAAAGTTAAATAAAATAATTCTTTAAAAAAATCCTCTACTTATAGGAAACTAGGGACTTTGACGACGATTAGCGACGCTAATTCATGCAGTTTTTAAGGAGGTTGTATTTTGACTCGAAGGATTGTAGAGATGGCAGGAAACTTGTTTTCCCATTTACCTAACGGGTTAGCAGGAGCTCTTTTATTAAAGTGACACTAATTCTCCAGCCCATTTTCCCTGCTTTGCTTCTCTCTCAGCCATCACACACCTTCTGTGTGCTCATCTAAATTGAAAGTAAGTGACCTGAGGGTGTCATCTCGTGTGGGAATGAGCCTGCTGACGCTCAGCTTTCTTCCTCAGGTTAGGTTGTCTGTTCAGGGTTGATCATCATCAAAACCTTTTGTTTTGGAATTGTAGTATTATGATTGAATTCCTGTCAGCTCAGTCCAAGAATAATTCAATTTCATTTTTTTAGAGAATTATTTATTTACTTTTACTAATTATTATTATTTTGAAAATTTGACCAGAGAGAGAGAGAGACACGGAAAGTGAGGAAACAGGCTGCCAGGTCCGGGACTCATACTGTGGTCAGCCACGTGGGAGTCCAGCGCCCCAACCACACCACCTTCCGACCACGAGAATGATTAATTTTTAGGATCTTCATTTCTTTTCTTTTTTTAGGCCCTTCATTTCTAAGACATATATATGGAAATGGTTTCTTTTGTTGGTATAGATTTATTTAAAGTTTGTTTATTTCTTCCATTGGGGGGGGAATGCCGGCAGGACACCGACCGTGGCCCACCCCTGGTCTCAGCTGGCCAGGGTCACAGGCTCATGCAGATGTGTCTGCTGTGCTTGGGACCCGGGACCTTTCCCACGTGGGTCCAGTCACGTTACTGCGTCACACCCGGGACTGACTTTTTTCCCTTTCTTGATTTATGATAGGGCACACGCACACACAGGTGAGAGTAAGAATGAGTGAGACAGAGAGACAGAGAGGGGCGTGCCCTCCACGGGTCTGGTCCTACTGCCATCCTCTTCCAGTCCTCCAGCTCACTGGATCCTGGCCATGCTGACCGGGCCAGGGATTTGAACCCCGGGGGCCGTGTGGAATCCAGCTTCTCTTGAATGATATTATCCCTGCACCAGAGAGCTGGCCCAGGCTTTATTGACTTGTTTGTTTGTTTGATAAAGGACGTGTGCACCCCAGAAGGAGAGAGAGAAGGAAAGTGAGAAATCATCCCCCAGGGGAGGGCCATGCCATGACCCCTTCTTCTGCAGTCTCCTCTGGGGGTTTGGGACCTGCACACATGCACACACCCGCGTGTTTTTCAAGCTGTCTGAAACTTGCAGTTGGCCCCATGGGATCCAGTCACCTCAACCATCATGCCACCTGCTGGCCCCCAGGCTTTATTTTTCAGAGGTAGTTTAGGAGTAAATGTGGAAATGCAAATTAGCAAGCCTAAGTGCTTACAGCCTCAATTTTAGAACATGCTTTCTTCCTACAGCCTGGTACTAGAACAGTGAGAGGAAAATAGGAGGCGTCCCCTGCCCTTTGGAGCTTACTGTTTAGGGGGACAGGCGAGAAATGACAGCGTGGGACAGTGCGAGCTCAACCACGAGCGGGGCCAGGCTGCTCCTACCGGCTGCCCACTCCCAAGTCCGCACGTCCGGGACATGGGTGTCCATCCCTGTTCACGTCAGCCCTCTTTAGGCCCTGAAGCGCAAGGAACCCTCGCTCTCAAAGTTTGGTGAGTCGATTCTGAGGACGGGAAGTGTTAATGCTCAGGAATGTTTTTTCCCTTTAGGTCCACGGAGCTGGATTCCAACTGGTCGTGGTTCCAGCTGCGGTGCATGCAGGTTGGAGGAAACGCTAGCGCAGTGAGTCCCTTCCTCGGAGCGCGCCGTCCTCCTCCTTCCCGTTCTGACACTTGTGTGCTCACTCGAGTGTTCACTGCGTGTTTGGGAGTCCCTGTGGAGGAAAGGAGAGAGCCCACTAGGCTCCGGAGTGAGACAGACTGATGGATTACTTACTGTTCAAAAACATATTAAACACCTGCTAAGCCCAAGGCATGTCAGGAAGGCAGACAAGGTCCCTGTGTAGACAGAGGCAGCCAGATTAATTAAAGGAGTAAATCAACACGACCGTTTTGGGCAGTGGACTGGCCCTGTAGGATAATGGAGCCAGATCCCACATGCCTGACTTGGTTCACATCCCAGCCCCTGTGGCTTGAAAATGTACCAGGTATGTGTGTGTGCATGCCCAAGATCCTGATGGGAAGGCAGAATGGAGGAAAAAGGGTTACAGCGTGACCATGCCCCATTGAAGGGTGCTTTTTCTCTCTCTCTCTCATGAGCAAACCTGCCTTGTGACAATTTAAAAAAGAAAATAACAGGACCAGCAGGTGGCATGGTGGTTGAGGCGCTGAGCTCCCATGTGGCTGGCTACAGTTGGAGTCCCAGACTTGGAGGCTTTCTCTCTCTCTCTCTCTCTCTCTCTCTCTCTCTGGTGAGCATATATGCCCTGAGGCAAATTAAAAATAGTATTAATGATAATTTTTTTTTTTTGGAGAGATTTTCACTGTAGGGCACGTGCACTCGCCAGACAGACAGAGAGAGACATAGAGACAGAAAGCGAGAAATCACCCCCCAGGGGGGATGGTCACGCCGCCATCCCTTCTCCTCCATTCTCCTCTCAG